CCAGGATACGGCTGGCTTTCTGGGCTGCGAGAGCACATTGCTGGCTCATGTCCAGCTTTTCATCTATCAGTACCCCCAAGTCCTTCTCGACAGGGCTGCTCTCAATGAACACAGTGAAAAGAAGAGAATAAGGTTGGAGGTGCCATCCCATTACAGCGACATGGGCCAAACTCACAAGAGGCAAAGATCGTGCCTCTTTTTTCCGTTTGGACAACTCTTCCCCCATGCAAATAAAGCCTGAATCAGACTTGTGTCCTAAGCAGCCATCGTACACGTGGTTTAAAGTGTATCTGAATGCCAGCACAGGAGGAAGTGGGTCCATTCCTACTGTCTGGATAAGAACATCCCGTGTGTGATGGAGTATCTCAGCACTTGGAACTGTTACTGTCACGTGATTTAGTTGTCTTAAATTAGCGTATTAATGAGTGATTCTACAGCACAACTGGATGCATATGCAGAATCCTCTTTTAGTGTCTTGGAAATTGCTTCACACCGGTCGTTTCTAACTAGACAGTGGAAAAGGGGGCAGCAGAAGGGAGAAGAGTTTTGGGAAATAAGGAGAAGGGAGACACAGAGCTACTATCAATGAAATGCATGACAATTTATCCCGGCAAGAAAGCTCCTCTTCTTACTGCACGCTTCCCCTGGTGCATGGGGAGAGGAGCTTTGTATGTCCAGGCCCAGACACGGTCCTTTGGAGAACGGTAAAATGAGGAAGGAGTCCCTTACCTAGCACGATCAGGTTGTACGTCTTGTGGAAGTTCCCTTCTGTTGCTACTACTTCACAGGTGTAATTTCCTTCATGGGCTATTCCCACTTGCCGTATCTCAAGGGCAGGATCGCGCTCTGGTGTGAGTTTCCAGTTCATGCTGTCACTGCAGTTTGTTCTGTTGGTCTCGTTCGTATCAGCCCTGTACCCCAAGGTGCAGCGGCCTCCAACCTTGGGGCTTATTTTCCACGTTACCATCATTACACTTGGTTTGGAAGGGCAGGTGAGCACAGAGCTGTTGCCTACTGTCACTGACACGCTGTTGTTCCCTGAAGGAGAGAAAGAAGGAGAGGGACGTGTGAGAAGGTGCCCAGGGATGTCACTCATAGCCTTGGAGTTCTGCTCCGTGCTTCACAGAGAAATGTCTGCGCTGTTACGTGCCTGCGTGAGGCCCTGTCTGTGCCAGCCCAAGAGCTGTCTCTGTCTTCTTAGGCGGGAATAGATCTCCAGATTCATGGCTGTGTTCGCATACATTTGGTTATAGTGGTGACAGATGAAATAATAGAGGAGTACGACATTTAACTGGAAAGAAAGCACATTCCTGTTTGCTGGTAGATGCAGAGATCCCTGATAGAGTCAAGATGGCAGCCTTGTGACCTGCCTCACCTGTCCTAACAAAAACAAATAAGAAAAACAGGAATTTGCATAATTAACATAGAGTAGGGAGGAGAAGGGATTATAGCTGCATTTTCAGATTCCACATTTTTGGAATTAGCTTTTCTAAGTATTTGACTGAGTTTGGAAAGGGCAAAGAACCTTCCCATTAAGTCTTATTAAAGCTTTCATCTGAATCTAGTGTTGTAAAATCCCAGTATACTTCATTTGTCAGGACAAGTCACTGATACCTAAGAGTAAAGCTTGATAGGGTGCTCATACTGACCAGAAAACCTCCCATCAAACGTGTTTTTAATAAGTCTGTTAATTATCACGAAAGGTATCGTACTCCAAGAAAATCGTTACCAGTTTTCATCAACTCATTGAAAAGCCCAAGTTCAACATCTTATTGGTTGGCAACTGAAAAGATCTAGTTGCAGCTAGAAATGTTTTGATTTGCAGGTTATTGGGTTTCCATCAAAATGTCCCTTCAGCAATTCATAAAGATCCCTTCCCCTAGATTTTTTTCTTTCCCAAAGTAGAATTGAGGAAACATCACTCTGATGCATTGCCTTTTCCTCCTCTGCCCTTAACAGAGAGTTGGTACCAAAGTACCATTGGAAGTACCTGTAGCTCCTGTGACCGCAGTGATGGCGAGCAGAACAAGGGTGTACGTGATCTTCCTGACAACTTCCAAAGTAGCTCTTGTGTTTGTGGGCGATGTGGGTTTCTTCCACCATCCAGCTTGCTGTGAGCTCCCCATCATCCCCTGCCAGTGACCCTCAGCAGCCAGAGTCACTGCTTTTCCTGTGCTCCCGAGAGCCCTGCAGTGCAGTTAAGAAGAGGTGATTCTTCTTCTTCTTCCTAGCACGAAGCTTCCTGTGCTGAGAATTGGTGAACAGAGAGGAAGTGGTATTGGTGTTTGCTTTCTGACCACTGCCCTTCTGTATAGTGTTACTGTGGGAGGACACACTCCATAGCAGAGCTTGCACAAAGTCTTAGCAGTGTGATTTTTCATGTCTGGCTCTGATCTCACAGTGAGAATTTTATCATTGGAATTTGGGGGAAGGATATTCTTAGCTTATCGCTTAGAGGATGCTCAACATATTCGAAAAAATCTCATAAAACAAATTCCGCTTCCTCCCCACTCTATCCTTCCCCATGTAGCTAGCAGCCTAAGACCTTTTCTCTAAAAGGCACTGGCAATCACTTCTCCCCTGCAGGGAGGGCAGGCAGGTAGGTACATTGTACATTTATATTACAGCTCTGTTTCTCTGATAATAGTACATCTACAGACGGTTAGGCCAAGGTTGCTTTTTTTTGCACTACTCTTTTGTTTGTTTTTCAAACTGTTCTGGTACTATATTCCCCCCATACCTACATAAGTGAACACTGAAGGTCATTCCAGTGGTGAGCTGCGGGATTTTGCTTAGAGCCAGAAAGGTCAATTTTTACAAGGTCTGTAAAGACCTTTTCCCAAGCTACTGCTGTCCGTCTTCCCATGTGATTAAGACTGCTGTCTCATACCAGCAAAGACAGCTTCCCTAGATATAAGATGAACCTCCCTGGAAATCAATGCATTGCATTTAATTTTATCAGAAAAATGTTAGCCTCCCCAAACTTTGAAGGCACCAAGCTGAAATGAGTTGGTGACTATCTGCCTGTTCTAAGAACAGAACTCTCCCCCTGCAACTACTGTCACAGCAGATTTATGTATTTCCATGGCTGTGCTGAAATGTGCCTGAAAGGGCTTCAGTTCTGTGGTCAAATAGATGCAAAACATCCAGAATCACTGGCAGACAGGCAATGGTGTCTCCCCCTCCTCCCCCCAAACAGTGGGTGCCATTTAACTGAGAAGAGGCATAGCACCCATTAGTGACTCAAAGGAAAAGCTGGGTAAGTTCAAAAAGAAAGTTAGGCGACCTGTGGTCACAGTTCTTATATTCAGAAAAGCCAACAGCAGCAATATAATGAAATCTTCATCTCTGCTGGCTGTTGTTGCTGCAGTTAGACTTTCCAAAAGTCACTTTGTCAAACAATTTCAGACAGCTACCTGCACCTTGGTCAATGCAGCTTCTCCTTCAGTGCTGTGTGGTTTGGCGGTGAAGTGCAACAACCATTTCTCATGTTTAGTGGCAGGCCCAAGATGCAAAGATCACATCTGGATCCCTGCGGCGTGAGACACACCATAGTTTCAGCCATAAAATCCGTGGGTGCCGTAGCTCAGCACTAAATGGCAGAGGCAGCAAGAAATAATGGTCCAAGGCATGAAAATCAGAAGCTTTCAGGGTCCTAATCACTTGGGGTTTAATTGGGAGCAATGCACCCAGGCACCTGGAAGAATTCCCTACAGCATGTGATACAACCTAGTCCAGTTATCTTTGGGGTGAGGCCTAATGTTCTTGGGTTTGGGGTTTTTTTTTGCCAAAGATCCTGTTTGCTCTCTGATAGTGAAGGTGATAGCTGGAAAATCATGTTCCTATTTCTTTAATTAGCTTTTTAGTTTTTGAGTCTTTGGATTACAGTCTGGCTACAGTGCAGCAGCTTACTGCATGACTGTGAAGAGGAGGAAAGGTTGTATGTGGGTGACTTGGCAGGGGGAGGATTGATGGGTGGTTTTTATTTTCGGAAGCCCAAACTCTCAGTCTGATGCTAGAGCTGGAGCCAGGCAGCAGGGTAATATTGTGGCAAGAGCACCGCTGTTGTGCCCCAGGCAGCTGATCCAAGCAACTGAGCTGCTGGACCTGGTTGTTCTCTATCCACCTCCAGCACAGCCCTGGAGCTGGTTTTAAGTGTCCTTCAGCGTTAGACTCTTTCCTCCTCTGCTCAGAAGACTTGTGTGTTCGGACACCCTGTTTTACTTGAAGTTGTAGAGTACCATGAACGACTGCATGATATCCTGTTTCCTTTGTGTCATTTCTCGCTTGCTACCTTGCTTGTTTTAGCCATTCTGCAAGAGCCTTGGTAAAGGGCTCTATATGTACATCGTACCTCTAGCAGAGGGACTTGGCTTCCCCCCCTTCACCCGCAGTTACTCATGTACCAAATGCTGGTTTTAGCTGCCCGTCTGGGTGTTTCAGAGCACGCTGCGACGCAGTTCCTCCATGGTTATTAGCAGCCCAGCCCCCAGGAGAGCAGAGTTTTGCAAACTTTGGCTTCGTGCTGCTGTGCAGTCCTGCTGTGAGGACTTCTGTCAGGGCCCAGGCTCTAGCTGCGCTTTCCTCTCCATCTCCTGGTCAAAGCAAGCAACAACGCTCACCTTGAAAAGTTCTTTTTTTTTTGAATGATCGACTGTACCACGTTCAAAAGAAAACGTTTTACTTTCAGGGGTGTTCATTGTTGCTTTCTAGTATTGATGTGGTAAGTTTGGGTTAACTTTTAAGTGGAGCATTTGTCATTCCTGAACTAGGGCGTTTCCTTTTGGAAGCAAAGAGGAAGGCATTTGCTGAAGCTATTACTGGATTTATAAATTATCAAATAAACACTTTGCCTGCATCAGAAATGCTTTTGAGCCAGATCATTAGAGAATATTGTAATCTGAGCAAACGTGTTGTAGATCTGCAAGGGACAGAACAGTTATTTGATTCTCCATCCCGCCTGCACCGATCATGGGGAGCTTTTCCATTTGTCAGTGTCCTCATCAGTCAGTGTTACTGGCACTACTTGTATTTTTTCATCCCAGATTCAAAGGGTTTCTAACTGATTTAGCACCCTTAAGACAGAATTTCCTCCTCTTCTGCAGCGCTTCCTGCGCTAATGACCAAGGCCAACTCTGAGAAAATGGATGGAGTAATTCTGTCTTCTGCTCTTTGCCTCTCCTCAAAGGCTCAAGTGCAAAAAGAAACCTTGCAGCTGAGGTCAGACCAGGTACAAATGGAAGAGGTTCATTAAATTTGAGATGAGTATCAAAAAGAGAATTTCAGTTCTGTGAAGCCAATGGAAACTACTCTTCAGCTGGGACTAGCAGTGTTAGCTGCCACATGAACAATAATGCCTCTCTCTTCCATTACTTTACTTGAGAACTTTTAAAAAACTTTCCCAATAATGAGTATTTTTTTTTTACTTTTTAATGTTCTTTTTTTAGTCTTAGAATGTCCAGCCCGTGAGAAGGTTGTGGCTCTGAATTCCTTCTTAAGGAAAGAGACACTTCCCCCCCTGCCAACTGGAATGCTTTGCATAGAGGAAAATGCAGAGCCTCTTAGTATTTTATACAAGTAATTTAGCCTTTAAAACTTGTCTATCCTTGTTACTCTAGTTCCTAAATGACCTTCCAAGTGGAAAGAACTAGGCTGTATTTTAGGAGAAAGCAGAGATTGGGGCAGAGTCAGTAGTGCTCTGAACGTCGCAAAAAAGCAAAAAGGTTGGTGCATGTGCTCCGGCCTTTCTGGCGTGCTTCCTGGTGGCAGTGTTTGGTCTCAGGTCCTCTTCTTGGAAATGAAGCTCTAAAGCCCAGTTGGGTTTGGCTCACAGGACCCGAACCGACTGCCCCAAACGCACAAGGAGCCCTCCCTGCTCTCCCAGAGCTCCGTCTCCAGCTGGTCTCACAGCTGCTCTTCTCCGAGAGGCATCTGAAATGAATGGAGGTTTGACCTGTCGCAGGATGCTGGGATAGACAAGATCAGACCAGGCCAGACAACTGGCGTCACCACTTCCTTCCAGCTCCACGCTCCGGACTATTCTTTGGGATTTAGGTCAGTGTCAATGGTTATAGATCCCTCTTTCATACTCCAGAGGAATGATTGTCAGAGTTTTTAATGTGGACTAAATTATTTTGTAGTCATTCCCTAACATCTGAACTACATAACGCACAACTGAAAAGAGGCATCTGCTGCCACAGACGTGAGCCATAGGCAATTTTAGTCTGAATGCCTAATGTTTGGCAATAATATATGGAATAGAAAGTAAAGCCTTTCAGGGGAGATACAAAGCAGGCTTAAATGTTGGTATTTTACCAGCTCTGTCCATAGTAACCTGCCATTTCCAGTCTCCGTAGGGTGTGCCCGCAGAGAACCCGGACTGCAGTTTGGTCCAGGAAAAAAAAACACCTTCCACTGAAATGCACGGTTCTGGTCTTTGGGTTTTAGATGTGGGTCTACTGGATGCTCTTGTTTATCCAGCCCTTTGCTAAAATTAGAAGTATTCGGAAGGTCCTATGCCATTTTAGTTTGTTCCTGTCGCCTATGTAGGTACTGTCACATTACAAAGGGAGACAATTAGCGGTTAGGGCGCTAGCCTGTGAACTGGGCACCTCTGTTCGTGTCATCGCGGCTGCAGACGTACTGTTAAACGGGCCGGGCGGTTTCTCGGCTGCCTTCCCTCCTGTCTCCGTCCAGCTCTTCTGGGAGTAACGTGCTGGAGAGCGCCTGCCTGGTAAGGGTAACTGCTGCAGGGTCCTTTCAAGCAGGCAAGCCTGCTGCCGGCAGCGGTGGGCTGCGTGAGGCAAAAGTACCTAAAAGCACTTGCTCTGTTTCGCGTGTCACCGTTGGGCATAGAAAGGTGGAAATCTGCCTACCGGAGTGGTTACGAGCATCATCTCTGGCCAGCATGGGTTTTCTGTTACTAGATTCACCGCAGATTTCAATTCAATTAGGTTGCTGCATTACCACAAAAAAAATTAGCAGTGTTCCTGAAGTAATTCTTGAAAGGTTTATCGTGCTTTTTTCCTCTACGTTTACCTATGGTCATTGCAGCGCTGGGGGTGACAGGAGAGGCCCGCTCTGTGGGTTTCAAACTGGTCTGGAACCAAGTAAAGGTCATTTGCAGATGTATTTGGGAGCACTCCTCTGAGGGCGCACGTAGCAGCCAGCGACTGACTGCGGTCTGCCCTGAGCTATGCGCATCTGAGCTCTGGCTGGCTGTGAGGCAAAGCAGATTTTAAGAGGACTTAATTTACAGACTAAAGTAGAACGCAGGCGGTTTTTTCCCTAGGTTTACACCGTTAGCCTAACTCTCACCAGTAACTGCTTTCACTGATCGTAAATTTGAGAAGAAGCTTACGCGTTTCAGTAGAAGCTTATTACAAAAGAAGTCTTATTACAAAAGAGCTGAAGCGATCTCCAAGAAACACGGAAGCTGACGTAGGGCCTCGTACCCGGGCTCAGTCCAAGGCAAGGAGGGGGCAGCCCGTGCTCTCTTCCAGCGGCCCGTCCCGCCCTTGAATCCATTCAGCCTCGTGCTGTTTCGCGGCCCAGCGGGGCTTCAGCGGCCAGGCCCTGGGCGCCGTCCCCGGGCTGGGGCCGGCTCCGGCAAG